GGAGGAGATGCTGGCGGGCACTAGGGACAGTGCCATAAACTAGCTGGGGGGGAGAACTATTCTGGTACACTCCCATTTCATACTCTTTATTCTTGCCTTTAAAAAAAAAAACACACAAAACAAAGCTTGTTAGGTTGAAAACCCAAAAGGGCAACTTAAGCAAAACAAAAGCAAAAAGAAGAGTGAGTTGGTGAGAATAAAAAAGGGAAATGTGGGAAGCTGGGATGAAAACCCGAAAGGGCACCTAGGCAAAATGAGAGAATGAGAGAAAGTATTTTCTTTTATCTTTGCAGAATCTTAAGGGCATATACATGAGGAAGCAAAAGAAGAGAAATCTAATGGTGTTGAAGACCTTTTTATGTGTTTTTGATCATTGAAACATTTTTATGTTGATTTTCAAAAAACACTTGTGAATGGTTGTGATTGCTACTATTGTTGGTTCGGAAACTTCATGGACAGGATTTGTTTTACTCGAGACGAGTAAAAGTTCAAGTGCGGGGGTGTTTGATAGGCACTAGTTATTAGTGCCTAAGTGTACATTTTTATTATCATTTGTAATATTTATTTACTAGTATTATGCAAGTTTGTAGTTGTTAGTTTGCATTTGATTGTAATCGTATTTTTAGTATTTTATTGTTTGTTGTAAGTTATAGTTAGTTGAGCTATAAGTTTAGGATAGGTTTGGAAGCAAGAAGGATGGAAAAACCTGAGTTTTATGCAAAACCCGGTCGGGTATGGACTTTACCCGGCCGGGTATGAAGTGACAAAGGAAACTGCTGCAAAACTAGCAAATACCCGGTCGGGTATTCCATATACCCGGTCGGGTATGAAGTGATTTCTGACCAAAGAACGTGCAGAAGACACAAAAACATGGGAAAATATTTGATTTGGTAAATACCCGGTCGGGTATGTCAAAATACCCGGCCGGGTATCCGGAATTAGGTGTTGAAAACACCTATAAATAACCCCATTTTCCTTCACTTTTAAACATCCCTTCTTCCATACTCTTAAGCTCAGTTTAGAATAGTATTTCTTTTATATTTTTATAGCATGTTTAGTCTCCAAATGAGGAGCTAAACTCTTCCATCTTGGTTTTGCTACTTTGAAGCTTAATGAATTTGTAAGTTGTGAGTTATTCTCTTTAATCTTCTTCCTTGAATATTAATTCTTCCTTTAAATACTATTTCTATATCAATGTTGGGGAGTGTTACTAAGATGACAATTAGTTAACATCTTGACATTAGTTATAGTAATAATTATTTCTTCCTCTACGTTAATATTGGGGAGTGTTACTAAGATGACAATTAGTTAACATCTTGATATTAACTATAGTAGGATTCATCTTCTTTAATATTCTTTCTTGAGTATTAATTAACTCCTATTCATATTTCATATTAATATTTTGAACATTACTTAAAGGATCAACTAGTTTTGTTTCATATATTAATTAATACTAGAATCGGTCGATTAATACGCTTGTTATTAATTCGGTCCTTTCATGGTAGTAAACTTGGATTATTAATGCATGCATCTCATGGTTAATAATCTAAGGGGAATTAATTATATTGATTAAACCAATAAACCGCTTGTGTTGAGGTTATCAATCTCAATCGTTTTCATCTTAAGTTTATTGCTACTATCAAGTTAATACACGGCGCTTGTTCTATATTGACTCGATAGTAAGTTTTATTAATGAACGCTTCTCGTTATTAATAACTACCCTCGATGAACTGGATATACTCCTCGATTGAGTATTCGAGAGGAAGATAGTTAAAGATATAACCGGGATCGACGAACATTTCATTAAGTGGATAAAAGCAAAGCCAAGTCTCCTTCTTATTAATTAAACCACATAACTCGTTCATCTTCGTGTTTAATTTATTAAACCAAATCGAACTAAAACCCCCCATTTTGTTACTAGTTCTATAAAAAGAAAAGTATTCCTTTCCCTGTGGATACGAACCTTACTCCATTATACTACGTATAATTGTTGTATTGTATTATTATTTTGAGTGCACATCACGACAAAGTGCACGTCATTCTCCCCTTTCAATGCTTGTTCAACCACTTGGGCGAAAGTCATATTAGGCAATTGCGTTGCCCTATCACGTATCTCCAAGTCAAGAGCGTCCCAAAAGTGGTTCACCATGCGGTTCTCGTCACAAGCATACTCCGGTATGTAGTCGGCGAGATCCCGGAACTTGTACTCCAGCTCCTTCACTGACATGTTACCCCCTTGGGTTAGGAGGGTGTATTCCCTCACCTTCTTATTCACCTCGAAATCAGAATAGTATTGGGCAAAGAACTCCCGTTGGAAGTCCTCCCAAACAACGGTCTCACCGTACTTGTTCTTGGTTCCATCCCACCACTTGGATGCCATCCCCTCGAGCAATCTTACCGCAATTCTCAGTTTGAGATTCGGCGCGATTTGCATGTCAAGGGCTGCTTCATTTAGCCTCTTGATCCATTGTGCTGCGACTGAAATGTCCCCTGCTCCATCAAAGGGTTTGCACCCCAAATCTCTTGCTTCTTTGATAAATTTGGAGATCCTTATGGTTGGACCTCCATCACTTTGGCCTCCATGTGGTTCCACATGGACTCTAGATGCACCATGACTCCCTCCTCTTGAAGCCATGCCCGAAGGTTGCCCCACTCGGCGTCTTCGGCGTTGCCTCCTCTCTTCACGCTCCCGGTGGTATTGTTGGAGTAGTGCTTCGATCCGTGCTAAGGAGCCATTTCCCTCCTCATCACTTACATCGTCATCATCCCCTTCATAAGGGGTCTCAACCGGCTCTGTCTCCGGTTGGTAAGTCGAGTCCTCATAGGACCAGTAGGTCTCACTTTCTGTGTCAACATGACCGTCACTCACGGTCTGTGATCGGCCTCCACGGTCAGCTCCTCTAGATGCCCTAGAGGTCCTTCGACTGCCCTGTCCAGTCTCCACTGGTACACGGCCCGTCGGGTTCCTCCTAGTAATCCTGCCACCACGGTCCATTTCTGAAAGAAATTTGGAAAGAGTCGTTAGACTCGTATCAAATGTCAATTGACGGATAGGTACTTAAGACACATTTTGGCTCGAGTCACCGCCATACCAATTGCTAAGGGTACCATCTTAACAATTAGAGACCTTGCGACCCAAGTACCAAAAGCTCTCCAAGTACAAAACTTCTATGCTCATGGTTTTCAAAATCTTTTCAAAAAGAGAATTTTGAGACTTCATTATGAAGTTTATGAACCTGGCTCTGATACCAACTTAATTGTCACGCCCCGGACCTCCCCGGACACGTCAACAACCCGCCGTACAATACGAATAGTCGACCGCAGTCCAACACATTCATATTATACAAGGCGTCATGAATATCATTCACACATAAGTCATCCATAAACAACATAATAAGTAATTCATAAAGCAGCGGAAAACATTGTTTAAAACAAAAGGGCCACACAGGGCTATTCATGAGCACGCAGGCTCTATAATAAAATATCCATGAGCATGTTTATTAATGTTTAAAATCCGAATGGAGGAAGCACGAACCAAGTCTTCGCTCCTAGATGATCTCTCGAGCAACGAGCACAGGAAGCAAGCTCTAGCCTCAACCTGAAAAATGGTGGTGGGACGCCCCCGAAGGGGTCAGCACTCTATAGGGCTATAAAGTGCTGGTGTGGCAGGCATCTAATAGATATACAACAAGTATTTCAAACACAAGACCCTCAAATAGGGTGATAGTATATTATGATTGTAACCCTAAGTTACCCCGTTTAAAAATATACTTACTTTATATAAAAGTCAAGTAGCCGGCCCGTGGGCCCATGTTCATTTGGAAATCACCATTCCCAACCCCGTGACTAAAAGCCACGACAACTCCTAGAGTCCAACCCTAGTACATGACATTGTATTCTAGAGCTCGGCTCTACTACATCACCATACAATTCATATACCTCGGGTCAATTTCCTTACCTTGCGTTCTAGAGCTCGGCTCTATTACATCACCACGCAAGTCCTAGAGCTCGGCTCTAGCTATACAATACATAGACTCCAAGTCTACACCTTACATGCATTCTAGAGCTCGGCTCTATTACATCACCATGCATTAAGGTCCAATTCTCAAGCAACCCTATGCCTAGAATTGACATATCATTAAACTACTTTGGGTCATCCTTAAAGACTTCCCATAACTTAACTTTAGTTCCAAACTAAGTTATTATATACACTTGAACTATATTCAAGTAACTTTCATACAATCCAATCCCTAGGATCAATTTAATCAACAAGTTCCAATAATCACTAACTAGTATTTCAATACTATTAAGATTATTGTTATCATACCATTATCCTCATTATTTGTAATTCTCTACATATTTATAATTATGTAGCAGCAACTTAAGTATTCAATCTCAATACACAAATATTCATTTATGTATCCACATAATTCATACATGAGCAAAATGCCCATTTTCACAAAATAGTTCATTTATACTCATTTAATCTCATATTATTCATACCTTCTCAAATCATTTCAAATTTCATTCCTTGGCAACTATATCAATATTTCATCAATATATAATCATCATAATCCATGAAAAATCATGATTTAAGCATTTAGGTAATCTCATGCTTAACCTACAAGTTGTAAGCAATTAGATGTCAATCCTCACCTCAATTGAGCTTTAAACTTTCCCTTCTTGGTCCAATGGTCAAAGCTTTGGTCAAGGTGGATTTGGAACTGATTCCTTGCTCAAATATGAGTGTTAAACAGCCTCCTCAAAGTGCTAGTTCAACCCTTAATCGTTGATACGAAAACAGCCCCTAGAACGGGTGTTTTCCGGCTAACTCGATTCCTAGTTTTCCAATATTTGCATCTAGGTTAGTATCTAACCTTTACATCAATAAAATAACTTTATAAGGACATATTATACACTTGGATTAGTGTATAATAGTCTCACCAATCGTTCATATCATTTGGAGAATGAAAAGTAAAGCTTTGGGGTTTAAAACTCACTTTAGAGGATTAAATCCTCTCCTGCGAGGTTGCGTTTTTCTCGGACGATTTGGAAGCCTTCCACAACTCCGATTCCTGCAAACCAGACCTTCACGGATTCCTCGTCTTGAGAGCTTTCTGTGGGTATCTCACACGCCTTAATTGGATTTGTAAAACTCGAGATATCGACCAAACAGTCTCAGCACTCTCACAGCTCGAGTTCACAGACCTCTGCTCGTTCCAGCTCGATTTTTGTAAGATAAGCCTTCTCTCCTCGAACAAAGACCACTCAATTGAGATAATAGACTTCAAAGGCTATCCAAGTACATATTATTCACGTTGTTTGGTCGAGTATAGCTTCTATAATGAGAGGAGACAAACAGCACACCAATTTGTGCGAAAATAAGGATGGTGGCCCAAGTTTTGATTCCTATCAAGTCATGTGCAGCTCCCCTCCATTATGGACGGCCAAGGTAGGTCTTCTAACCCATTTTTATTTGTTTTGCAGGTACTAATATCATGTGGAGTGGTTCCCAATTGATCCCATTAAATTTGGGGTCCAAAATATCTACCAATACTTCCAAAAATGGGAAGATGGGTCCTATTGTTTTATCTTTGTCAAAGATGTCTTCTTGTACTCATCCTAATTTATTTAGAACAAGTCAACTTCCTAAATCACATTATTGATCTCCAATATGTGTAGGCTCATCCCAATAATTTACTTGATGGATATTTTAGAAGGAAAATCCTACTCCCATTATTTAGCTCAATAATGCCAAAGATGGGGTTATAGACATTTGTATTCTCCTTTAATCATTCTTTCACTATTTTGGTAATGTTGGGCTTTTTTATTTATTAATAAGTCCCGAGTAAGTATTTGCGAAACCCGACACGAATGTACGAGTTTGAACAGTACGATATTCAACCATGCACTACGTAGAACATTGATCGTTTTACGAAATGTTTGGGAATCGGAAATCCAATACATAAGCTATGAATATTCAAATCAAATTTCCAAGGACATTCGGGTGCGGTGTCACAGTAGGGAAGGGGTAGGATGGCGGTAAGGGTGGGGGTAGTGGGTGGGGTTTGGGGTTGGGGTAAGGTAGGGGTAGGGTAGGGAGTTGAGATAGGATGGCGGTAGGGTGGGGTCGGGACCAGGGTGGGGCCGAGGTAGGAGGCATGTGGTAAGGGGTAAGGTAGGGGTAAGTGGTAATATACGAGGGGTGGGGGTAGGGTAGGGTGGGTCGGGGTGGGGTCGAGGTGGTAGGGGGGTGGCGGTAGGGTAGGGTGGATCGAGGTGGGGTCGAGGTGGTAGGGGGGTGGCGGTAGGGTAGGGTGGATCGGGGTGGGGCCGAGGTCGGGGCATGTGGTGGAGGGTGGGGTAAGGTCATTATAGGAAAAAATGGGTACGCGGGGTGGGGGTTGGGTGGGTAGGGTAGGGTAGGGTAGGGGTAAGAGGTAAGGTATGAGGATGGAGGTACCAGAATGGAATCGAAAACGGAGCGGGACCGGACCCACCACTAGGTGTAAGTATGTAAATTCATTGCAAAGGCACTGTAGCATCTGCGTTTTCCAAATTTGGAAAACTAGTAAAAGTCACATCTCCAAATCGTTAAGGAAAAGAGAGACATGTTTCATTTTTTTTCGTTTTGGAAAACGATTTGGTAAACGCGTTTTTCTTTTTTCCTTTCTCCAGTTTTCCAGGAATTTCTTTGGTAAACACGTTTCCCGTTTTCTGTTTTCCAGTTTTCCAGTTTTCTGGAAAACTGGAAAGGGCCTGTTTACTAACAGAGATATTTTCCCGTTTTCTATTTCTGTTTTTCGTTCTCCAATTTTCTGTTTTTATTTTTCAGTTTTTCTATCTCCAATTTTCTGTTTTTATTTTTTAGTTTTCCATTTTCAAATTTGAAAACATGTTCATTTTTTTCACACAGTTCTCCAATTCCACACCCTTGACCCCTACCTCTACCCTTACCACGATCTTACACTCTACCCATACTCCACCACAACCCTTCATACCCACCCATACCTACTCGTAGGGGTCGGGTAGGGAAGTTATGGGTTGGGGTAGGGTAAGGGGTATGGTCGGGGTGGGGTGGTAAGGTGTAGGGGTAGGGGGTTGGGTGGGGGTAGTGGGTGGGTTAGGGTCGTGGTTAGGGTTAAGGGTGGGGTAGTGGGTAGGTTGGGGTAAGGTAGGGGTAGGGGTAGGGTAGGGAGTTGGGATATGATGGCGGTAGGGTGGGGTCGGGACTAGGGTGGGGTCGGGGTAGGGAAGGGGTAGGATGGCGGTAAGGGTGGGGGTAGTGGGTGGGATTTGGGGTTGGGGTAAGGTAGGGGTAGGGTATGGAGTTGGGATAGGATGGCGGTAGGGTGGGGTCGGGACCAGGGTGGGCCGAGGTAGGAGGCATGTGGTAAGGGGTAAGGTAGGGGTAAGTGGTACTATACGAGGGGTGGGGGTAGGGTAGGGTGGGTCGGGGTGGGGTCGAGGTGGTAGGGGGTGGCGGTAGGGTAGGGTGGATCGAGGTGGGGTCGAGGTGGTAGGGGGGTGGCGGTAGTGTAGGGTGGATCGGGGTGGGGCTGAGGTCGGGGCATGTGGTGGGGGTGGGGTAAGGTCATTATAGGGAAAAATGGGTACGCGTGGTGGGGGTTGGGTGGGTAGGGTAGGGGTAAGGGGTAAGGTACGAGGATGGAGGTACCGGAATGGAATCGACATCGGAGCGGGACCGGACCCACCACTAGGTGTAAGTATGCAAATTCATTGCAAAGGCACTGTAGCATCTGCGTTTTCCAAATTTGGAAAACTAGTAAAAGTCACTTCTCCAAATCGTTAAGGAAAAGAGAGACATGTTTCATTTTTTTCCGTTTTGGAAAACGATTTGGTAAACGCGTTTTTCTTTTTTCCTTTCTCCAGTTTTCCAGGAATTTATTTGGTAAACACGTTTCCTGTTTTCTGTTTTCCAGTTTTCTGGAAAATTGGAAAATATTTCTGTTAGTAAACAGACCCTTAGTACCTCAAATCAGTTAGTTCAAGGTAGATAACATTTAAAAAAAAAATTAACTTATTTAGACCATTTATAACCGTACTCTACATAAGAAATGAAAAAGTATGTGTCCTATCATGTATACTCATTTGATTCAAGACATATTTACACTTTTTTTTTTTTTTTGCTTTTGTTAGTCAAGTATGCTTGCATTTTTTATGTATTGTGTTGATCCCTACTATAGTATAATTTCAAATCAAATCCAATCCCAAACAAACTGAATCAATCAAATCATGGTTTCACATTTGAAATGAAAAACTGAACAAAACTAAGAAGCTGTTCTCTTCGCCTGATCTGAATGTTTTTGATCTGAATTTTTTAAGTTCTGATCTGATCTGATCTGAATTTTTCTGATCTGATCTGATCTGATCTGAATCTGTCTGATCTGATCTGATCTGATCTGAATCTTTCTGATCTGATCTGATCTGATCTGAATGTTTCTGATCTGGTCTGATCTGATCTGAATGTTTCTGATCTGATCTGAATCCTTCTGATCTGATCTGAATCTTTCTGATCTGATCTGATTCAAATATTTCTATAATAAGTATTACTCCGAAAATTATAATTATAATATAATTATAAGTATAATTATAATTATTATAATTATAATTAATAATAATTATAATTATATTAAAATTAATTATAATATTATAATTTATTAATAGTAATATAAATACAATTAATATTATTATAACGATATTATTATATTAATATTATTATTACAATAATATAATAATAATATGATTATTATTATAATTAGTATTATATTATTATAGTATTATATTATAATTATAATCATAATTATAATTATGATTGTAATTATAATTATAATTATTGTAATTATAATTAATTGCAATTATAATTATAATTAATTATAGATATAATTATAATAATTACAATTGATTATACTTATAATTATAAGAATTATAATTGTAATTATAATTATAATTACATATAATTATAATATAATATTATAATAATATTAATCACATTATTATTATTATTATTATTATTATTATTATTATTATTATTATTATTATTATTATTATTATTATTATTATAATATTGTAATAATAATAATAATAGTCTTCTTAACAATTGCATTTATATTACTATTATTATATTAAAATATTATAACTATTATTAATATCTTTTTTTATCATATTATTATTAATATTATTAATAATAATTATATAATAATAATCATAATAGTAATAACAATATTATTAATAATAATAATTAATATTTAATATAATAATAAAAATGATAAATCATGTTTGAACTTTTCTGATCTGATCTGATCTGAATGTTTCTTATCTGATCTGAATCTTTCTGATCTGGTCTGTTCTGATCTGAATCTTTCTGATCTGATTTGAATCTTTCTGATCTGATCTGATCTGATCTGAATCTTTCTGATCTGATCTACTCTGATCTGAATTTTTCTGATCTGATCTGATCTGAATTTTTCTGATCTGATCTGATCTGAATAAAATAAGAATAAGCAATAAGTAATAAGAATAAGACGAACAGAACAGCACCTAAATTGAACTTTTTTACTTTGATTTTGGATAAAAAACGAATTAAAGAAACCCGAATCCACCCCAATTGAATTGTCCTTTCCCCGAATTGAAGTACAAAATTGTAAGGATCTTTTAGTGTGTTTGTCCAATTAAAGCACCCTTAGTTCTCGCATTACACGTGAGACATAAGTAGAACTGTAGAACTAACAAGCCACAAGGAATTGAGAATTAATTATTAATGCTTAAGTGACAGAAGGATAATGAGACTTTAATTAAGCTCATGTATAAGTGACAAATTCTCCTTTATTGTTTGCATGTTGCCGTTACTTTTGGATGTGTTGTTAAGTAGAGTGAAAGCAACAAAGGAATCCGTCTCAAGGATAAAAAATTTATCATAATTATGAACAACCCTTATGATCAGGGGCGGAGCCAGAAAAATGTGTGAGGGTGGTCGGAATTTAATTATATACAGTATCAAAATGATGGATATTTATTATACAATACTTGAGTTAAATGTTTTATATGTACCTTAGATAAATAGTAGTTTAATGAGCATTTTTCGGTTAATGTATTGATATATATGTAATGTATCATAATGCTCACATAACTAATGACTGAATAACATATTTTATTTTTAAATTTAAGAATATAATCAACGTCACATATCAAATTTTGCTTATTTCAAATTAACATTGTGTTGATTTTTCGAGAAATCATAACTTTTTACTCGTAATGAGTTACGGGACCCATAATATATCAAATCTAAGGTATTTCAGAGTTCTACATTCTTGAACTTTCAGCGGGGTCAGCTGACCACCCTGACCCCCCTTGGCTCCGCCCCTGCTTATGATCTCGCATCATGCATGCATATATGACACCTTCTC